CAACACAGAAATATGTGTTTGATTCAGTGCTCTCAATCTTTGGCAAAGATGTGGCAGAAAACATCAGGATCCTGGTGACATTTGCAGACGGTCAGCGACCTCCAGTTCTAGAGGCGATCAATGCTGCAGGAGTCCCATGTCCTAAAACAAAAGACGGACTTCCAACTCACTTCAAGTTCAATAACTCAGCGCTTTTTGCACAGAAAGGATCATCTGAAGAAGTCAGTTGGAGGAAGGGTAATAAAGGAGGCTTTGATCAGATTTTTTGGGAAATGGGGGCAGAAAGCATGAAGAGTTTTGTTGCTGCTCTGAGTTTTATACAAACTAAAAGCTTGACACTGACAAAGGAAGTCCTCAGAGAAAGAAAGCAGCTCGAGATTTCAGTTGAGAATCTGCAGGAGCAGGTGAAACGTGGGTTAGCCAAGCTTGAGGGGATAAAAGAGACGAGGGAAAAACTTAAAGAATATGAAGCAGAGATCGGCAGAAATGAGAACTTTGAGTTTGAAGTTACTGTCAAAAAGCCTGTTCAGGAGGACATTTCTGGCTCTGGAAACTACATCACCAACTGTCAGCAGTGTCATGTCACCTGTCACTATCCATGCACCAGAGCAAATGATGCAGGTTTAAGAAACTGTCCAGCAATGGGATCAGATGGATACTGTACTCAGTGTCCAGGCAAATGTTACTGGAATGTACACTTTAACCAGAAGTACAAATGGGAGTATAAAGACGTTAAAGAGAAAAAAACAATAAAAGAGATGAAAGAAAAGTATGATAGAGCCAGAGGAGAGAAGATGACTGTTCAGAAAGTGATTGATAAACTGAAGGCTGAGTATAAAAGTTTGCAGGCTGACGTAGTGAAACTGATGGAGGAATCTTCCAAGTGTCTGAACAGACTTAAAGAGATAGCACTGAAGACAAACCCTCTGTCCACTCCAGAGTACATCGACATGCTTATTGAAGGAGAGAAATCTGAGGGCAAACCAGGCTGGAAGCAACGAGTTCAGTCTCTGAGGTCCATGAAGGAAAAAGCAGAGCTCACAGCTAAAATAGAGGAAGGAAAGAAACTCCTTCACCACTTTGAACAGAGATGATAAAGATCTCAACTCAGTCAACGACGACAAACGACACACGTAAAAAAAAAAACCCTCATATTTACTGTTTGCTTCCTGATAAGATCTCATTTTAAAACTGATTTATCTTTAACATAGAAGTGTAATTATGTTTTATTGGATATTAAAATGTTCAACTTCTGACTTTTTCCTTTCAGCTTCTTTATATTCTTTACGTTTGATCTAATATTAAGTTTGTTTTCTCAGTGACTCCTGATGTTGATGTTCATGGACTTTTTAATGTGTTGATTTTTATGCTTTTATTTAAAAAGTTTAATTTTACTTTTTGTTTCCTTTCCTGGATTTTTCTGGATTTTTCTGTTGCTTCATAAAACACAGGAAATGTTTATCACACATATGAGAGCGGCTGTTTTATCCTCTGTGTGAGGGGACGTAGTTTTACTAACTCACACGTGTCATTTACACATTTACAGCTTCAGTTTCATTTGCTTCCTGTGCACTCGTGCTGCCGGTGTGTTAGCTTTATCTAAGTAAAACCCTTTACTGGAACAAAGAGACAATCCACTGCAGGGGCAAAACAGCAGTCCACCTAAAGAAAAGGCTCTTATACTCAAACAGATACAGATGTGGCTGCCGTACCATATATCAGAAAGAGAAGATACAACCTCTCTCATGACCCTCGGATGTATATGAGGTATGCCAGAACACTCTGGAAAAAGGAGTGAACGTCCTCCCATCTCATAGCACACAGAGTCGT